GTTGTTGCTGAGTTCAACTTTTATTCCATGATGGTCCAAGAAGATGGATGGAATAATTTCTATTCCTTTAAATTTGCTCAGGTAAGATTTGTGGCCTAGGATGTGGTCAATTTTGGAGTATGTTCCATGTATTGATGAAAAAAATGGGTATTCAGTTTTATTACAATGAAATGTTCTGTAAATGTCTGATAAGTCCAGAAGTTGAATAGTTAAATTTAAATCTAAGATTTCTTTGCTAAGCTTCTTATTGGAGGATCTATCCAACACTGCCATTGGAGTGTTAAAATCTCTGACTATGATGGCGCCTGAGAAATCAAGTTGCCCATGCCAGTTAGAGTCTGTTTTATAAATTGAGGTGCATTCTGGTTGGGTGCATAGATATTGATAATTGAGATCTCATCGTATTGAGTATTGCCCTAAACAAATATAAAGTGGTCTTCTTTATCCTTGGATACTTTTGTTGGTTTAAACCCTATTGTATCTGTGAATAAAATTGCAACACCTGCTTTTTTCTGCTTTCCATTAGCCTGGAATATAGATGACCATCCCTTCACGCTGAGTCTATATTTGTCTTTTAAGTTAAGATGAGATTCTTGTATACAACAGATGTCTGGTCTAAGTTTCTGTATCCAATCAGCCAATCTGTGCCTTTTTAGAGGACAATTTAAGCCATTCACATTGATTGAAATTATTGATAAGCCTAATAAAATTTTAGGTATCGAGGAGTTGTTCAAAAGTCCAGTGGACGTTTTTAATCCTTTCGCCACTGTAGAAGTTGAAGTTTGATCAATAGTTTCTGAGTTGGTTTACTTTTGTGGTGGAGGATTGCACTGGTCATTATGGAGAATAGGTCTGAGAATATCCTGGAAAGCTGGTTTAGTTACGGCAAATTTCTTCAATGCATGGATGTCATTAAAGTATTTAATTTCTCCATCATAAATGAAACTCAGTTTAGCTGGATACAGGATCCTGGACTGAAAGTTATTTTGTTTTAAGAGATTAAATGTTGATGACCACTCTCTTCTTGCCTGAAAGGTTTCGGCAGAGAGAGCTGCAGTTATTCTAATATTCTTCCCCTTGTAGGTTATGGTTTTCTTACATCTCACTTCTTTCAGGGTTTTCTCTTTCATATTAACTTTAGTGAAGTTAATTATGATGTGTCTGGGGGATGTCTTATTCAGGTTGAATCATGCTGGGGTTCTGAAGCTGTCTGAAATCTGAATTTCCAGATCTCTTGACATATCTGGAAAGTTCTCTTCCATAATTTCATACAGAAGAGCCTCTGTGTTTTGCGAAGCAACTTCGTCGCCTTCAGGGATTCCTATGAGGCAAATATTAGTTTTCTTCGAATTATTCCAGAGCTCTCTGAGAGAATAATCCATTTTTGCTTTCCATTTCTGATTCTCCTTGGACGTTTGGACATATTCAGAAGCTTTGTCTTCTACATCTGAGATCCTTTCTTCTGCCTCCTTCACTCTGTTACCAAGAGATTCTACCATATTTTTCAGATCTTTGAGGACTGCAATCTTTTGTCTTAATGTTTCAAAATCTTTGGTGGTTTTGTCTTTGAATTCGTTGAATTCTTGAGTGAACTTTTGGAATGCTCCTTTAATTTCTATTTCTATCTTTGCCTCTATTCTATTAATCTTATTTGCAATCCAAATTCTGAATTCAATTTCTGACATCTCAGCTATCTGTTTATATAGGAGATCTTCAGTTTCTTCTGCCACATCCTTTCTGGGGGGGGGGGTTGACTACTCTGGTTATTCATATTACCAGCCACATCCTTTCTTGCTGGGGGGTTGATCTACTCTGGTTATTCTTATTGTCAAAGCTTTTTCGCTGATTCTGCCCCATGATTGTTTTACCCCATTTGGCTTTTCCCCTTGAGGTTTGTCAAGGACCCATATGGTGTTACGTCCTGAGAGACTGGGGACCTGCTTGGTGTGATGGGGCTAAGTGGCTCTGTCTTATTTTCAGCTAGTCTCTGTCCTACCCTAGTGATTCAGTTTCTCTTGGTTGAAGTCTCTGCTGTGGAAAAATACCAGCAATTAAATCACCCTGCCCCCCATAAACAACAATTGGGCAAGGAAAATCAAACCTTCCCTCAACCATACACCCAAGGTGTCCCTTTGAATAGTCCCTGGGTGGTCTTACCGGTTTAAGGGGTCCAAATCAGTTGTCCCAGTCAGCACCCATTTCAGGTGGAAAAGTTCAAATATTTCTGGCAGTTAGATAAGAGGGGTCCACTCACAGCTCGGATATAACTTGCTCCAGTGCTCCATGAAGGCAAACGGACCCACCCAGCAGAAGGGTTAGTCTGTGAAGATTAATACCTCCTTTCCCACCTTGCACCTGCTCACTCATAATCCCCCAGGTCTGTGACCCTATTCACTCCAGTAGGCAACCGCTCCCAGGGTTTACAGGTTTATGACTGCCAAAATCAGCCAGAAATCTGAGTTTGGCAAGGGGGCCTTGTGTGTTTAAATTAGGCTTCTGTCCAGCTAGATTCCTCTGCAGGTCAGAGGCTGCATTCAGCTCTGGGCAGCAGACAAATAGCAGTTTACACTCAGGTGTCAATTCCAGCCTCTGCCTGTCCTCTGCCTTTGTCTCAGCTGTATCACCCTGAGGGCTGGTGCTAATGGTCTCTTTACTTATGGCGTTCAGAGAGACAGGGCTGGAATGGCATCAGTTCACAGCGCAGAATGCCACTGTTGCTGTATTAGCTTCCTCCCAGCCAACTCTCTTCTCCTCACGCCTCTGCCACAGTCAACACAGAGCAGTACCAGCCCTTTCTCCCTCCACTTTTCTCAAGGAGATGCCCAAGAATCTGGACCCCATAGGTAACAAACCTCCAGACCTCAGAGTGGTTGGGTGGGGACTCCTCAGGGTTCAATGTTGCAGGTGGGGAATATATACAGTTTTATACAGTTTTACAATTTTATGCCTAGCAGTAGGGTGCTGTGGCATGCCAGCAGGGGTAGGAGATCCAGTTTTTAGGGAGTCTATCCCGTGAAATGGAGTGGGAGAAAGTTTGAACTCTGCTCACTTGTTTGCATGGAGTAAACTGTGAGCCCTTGTTGTGGGGGAGGGGACTCCCATCCACTTGGTGGTGGATTTTGTACCTTTTGGTTGTATTTTGGGGGTCGCAGCTTGCCTCAGGAAAGTTGAACTGCGCTCTTCAATCTCTCTCAACTCTGCTCCAAACTGTCAGCTCCCTTGCTAAACTTCTGTCCTTTAAGCCTCCTTCTGGACGGGAGCTTCTATAAAAAGCTGGCTGCAGTCTGCCATCTTGGCTCCGCCTAATATACTTGTTCTAAGTGAAAAGTTGCTTGTTCTCATGAGCTAGGAACTTAAATTGGAAAACAGGCAATATCCATATCACATTTGATGTTTAGGCATCCATTCACCACATTTCTGAAAAACATCCCTAAGTAATGTTTTGTTTATAGAGTATTTAGAATCACAGAGTTCAGAAAGTTTATAGAAAAAGTAATTGGAAATGCAGTTATTGAAGAGACCACTTTTATAATTCCCTTTTAATACTTTGTAACAACATTTGCTCTCCCATTAGGATATCGTAATATTAGCAGAGGAAGGAAAATTTCAGGTAAAAAGTATTTCAAGAATTATTCCCCTCCCCCTTTGAAAATAGCCACATTCTGTGTAAAAACTAATCATAATTTTGGTGCATTTAGTTTCTCCTAATAATAAGAAAATAAAGGTGATTTTACTAAAATTTGGCATGCAAGTTCAAGGAAAGTGTGTATTGCAGAATGAGAAAATTTACAGGTATGATGCTTTGCTTAGAATTCTTTTTTAATGTTATTTATGAAAGACAGATGTCTTAAAACTATATTTTTATTTTTGTAATATACACAGGATGCACGTTTTCATTTATTATTGAAAAATAATTTGGAAATAATTTTTTTGGTGATTTGTATTCATTAGTGATGGAATCAGTATGCTGAATTCATTCATTAGAAATGCATGTCAGAATTTGCAAATCAGTCAAATATCTTGTGACAATGTATTGTTATCTGAACACGCCACTGTAATACAATGATTTTTAAAAGCAATTTTGCAAACTACTTATTCTCTGATTTTTATTTGTATTTCAGACCAATTAAAGCAGTCTCATTTAGTGATTACTACAAGACATGGTCTGCAATAGCTACATCAAAAGCCACAGAATACTACAGAACTCCATGTAAGGTGATCTAGACTTACCCTGTGTTCTTTTGGATATATTAATCTGTTAATCATTCTCAGCTTGTCTGGCTGTCAAAAACTGATTGACACACCCTACATGAGGGTGATGAACTTCTCTATTGGCTCTATATACTATTCATTCAACAACTGTTAATTTGGTTCCTCTTCTGTATAGAGCCCTGGACTGAAGTTTAATTAAAAGCTAGAAGGAAAGATAGGCTTTGGAGGAATAAAAGACAAAGTTCTCAATCTTAACAGATTTTCTTTTCTCCCTTCACCCCAGAAAGAAGGCTTCACAGCAGGAGGAATCTTTTAAATTCTTGAAGCCATAGGAAGTTAGCAAACAAACACAAAACCTAGGGCAGTTCTATTAAATCAATCAAAAATAAAAAATTATCTGCAACCATCATACATTAGGACCTAAAAAGATGGGATGGAGAGGTGGACAACATTACAGTTCCACTTAATTGCATCTTTAAAGTATTATTTCATTGTTTGGATCAAAGTAGGTTATCGAGTCTGCAAACATCTAGTGAAATATGACTTCACCTTCCTACTAAAATGGTGCATTCTAAAGTTAGCCACCAGTGACTTCTTAATTCTCAGATTCCATGATTGTGTTTTAATCCTTTTCTTACTTGAGCTTTTGTCGACTGTGCTGTCCTTGATTTACATTACACCGTACATCCATGGTCTTCCTTTTCACTTCCTAAGCATACCTCTGCCTGTTTCTTTAGCAATGATTTTTTTTTTTTTTGTATCTTTGGTGGAAATGGATCTTGCTATATTTCACAGGCTAGTCTCAAAATCATGAGCTCAAGTGATCTTCTTGCCTAGGCCTCCTAGAGTGTTAGAATTACAAGTGTCTGTCAATATACTTGGCCCATCAATAAATTCTTCATTCAATCTCCTCTACTCACTCTCTCTGCAAGACCTCATCCACTGCCATGGTTTTCATTGGCCAACATGCCAGTGATTCTCTAGCCAGACCCCTCTTCTGAATTCTACATGCATATTTACAACTGGGCATTGAACATCTGACCTACAAGTATTACAGGTGTCTCATGTTTAAGGTGTCCCTAAGTGAATTCACTATCTTATCCCCAAATCTAACCTTCCTCCTTTATTCCTCTCTTGGTTAGTGGTAGATCACCATTTTCACACTGTTTTGCCTAAGCCAGAGTCTTACAAATTTCCTAGACTTCTTTATCACTCTCATTAAACCTTACTGATTTTGTCTCCTGAAACTTGAAAGCTTCCATTCTCCTCCCCCATGACCACTGTCTTAGTTTGCAGCCCTATTATAATTTTTAAAGTTGAGTCAAATTGTCCTCCAGACAATAGAGGAAACAAAATCAAAGGCTATATTATATCTCCTGCATGAAAAAACTTGTGATCAAGTTTCATCTCATCATTGTGATAATCTCCTAACTAACACCAAAAACACTATCTAGTTTTAAGGCACAATACTTCTTAAGAAATCACATGTTTTTTCAGGAGGTTGGTTATTAATTACTTTGTGATTATATATTACCATCCTCACTCTCTCTTAGGATAGTCGTTAAAAAGGATTCAAGGTGCTTTAACACGTGCAGTTTTTAGCAACTCTGTCAGTACAAAGAATTTTATTATCTTTGATACCAGGGTACATGAATGTTTATTTCACTTCAAAGATTTGTGGTTGGGTGCTGCTTAGTCAATTCAGCACACATCTACTGTGTGTGCCGAGCATGTATGCGGCACAGAGCAGCTCAGATCGATCCTAGAGGCAACAACCCCAATCACACAAACACTGTTTTGAGAGAGAGTAATTGGTACATTCTGGGAAAAAAATGACTTAGAGTGAAACTCCTTCAACAAAAAAACAAAAAAATTCTTACAGGATGGTGCTTTATAGGATGGCATATAAATATATAGGGTCACTTGGGAAATCCAAACTGCTAGAGAAAAAAAAATGGTAGTATCACACCTATAACCCTAGTACTCTGGGAGGCTGAGGCAGGAGGATTACTTTAGCTCAGGAGTTCTAAACTAGCATGAGCAAGAACAAGACCCCATCTTTACTTTAAAAATAAAAGAAAATGCTCGGTGCCCATAGCACAGTGGTTACAGCACCAGCCACATAAACTGAGACTGACAGGTTTGAAACCAACCCAGGCCAGCTAAACAAAAATGAAAAATGCAACAAAAAATAGCTGGGCATTGTGGTGGGCACCTGTAGTTCCAGTTACTTGGGAGGCTGAGACAAGAGAATCACTTAAGCATGAGAGTTTGAGGTTGCTATGAGCTGTGATGCCACGGCACTGTATGGATGGCAACATAGTGAGACCCTGTATACAAAAAAAGAAGAAAGAAAGGAAAAAGAAAAAAAATGTATATATGTGTTTATGTATAAATTAGCCAGGCATTATGGTGGGCGCCTGTAGTCCGAGCTACTTATGAAGCTGAGGCAGGAGGATCACTTGAATCCAGGAGTTTGAGGCTGCTATGATCTAGGCTGATACCATATCACTTTAGCCTGGGTGACAGAGTGAGACTCTATCTTAAAAAAAAAAGAAAGAAAGAAAGAAAAGAAAAATGAAAGAAATAGTGAGGCTCCACTGACCACAGTTTCTTCTTCAAAAGAGTTTGACCCCAAAATGTCTAATTTTGTTGTTTCCACATCTGTCACTAGCCTAGTGCATAATTCATCCTTGTTTATAAAGGCAATAGCTGGTAATTGGTATCTCTAGCCCAGAAGGATTTCTGAGACTGTGAATCTAATACCTCATGCAAGATTTCACCATCACCCTGTGCCTTCTTCCGTAGGGAATTGTTATAAGCATGTTTCAAGAGCTTTTCTTGAATAATAACCAGCACTTACTTAGAAAAGTTAATGTAAACTTTAAATGTGCTACTGGCTATTCTATCTTTTGATAGTTCAGCTTAATGAGATCCGACACTATCTTTTTTAATGGCCTAATCTCCTAGAAATAATAAAGATGAAGCTTTTAGATTATAAGGTGCTTCTAGCTTCTAGAGAGCTTCGACCTGGTTGAATAGATCAAGATTGTTAAATCAGAAAAAGAGTAAGAAAGAGGAAAATAGATAGAGCATACTATGTGTCTGGACTTATGACCTAGCTTCATAGTATTTCCTGTAAAAATTATCAATACCTTAAGCATAGTAGGTTTTCAGTAAGGTTTGTGTGAATTTACATGCAGGCCTAAGGCTTATAAATTAGCCAAAAACATATGACCCAGTAGTGGTGTAATTTCCAGAAGACATTAATGCAGATCAGAGCTGAATTGCTAGTATACTGCACAGATCAAGGGAGGTAGTAATCCCATTTGTGTTTGTGCTTCAAACTAAATTAAGATCCTGACCTAGTTTGGACACAAACTTTAATAGGAACATTAACACAATTCACCACCAGAATGTAAAGATGGTTGTCTCTAGAAAATCATATCCTAAGAAAAAGTTGAAAGAACTGAGGCTTCCCTGTGAGCTATCCTTCTAATATTAGAGGGCTCTTCTCAAGGGGAGGGATGAACTTAGTATTGCACCAGAGGTCAGAACTAGGACCAGTGGAAACTGCAGCACTCAGATTAAGAGAGGATGCTGTGACCTTTGCCTGAAAATGGAATGGGTCATCTCCCAACAACAAACTGGTGCGTTTTCTGTGGTTGGCAAGGGATCCATTCAGAGCCTGGATAGTGTTGGTTATAGATTCTTGCTTTATGAAAGATCAAGCAAGGTTGGTAATATCACTTTCAACTCCAAAATTTTGTTTTTCTACTTGAAGTGCTGAATCAGAATTTTGTTAAACTATGTCTCTGGTTTTTACTGTGTTATTCTAATACTTCCTTTATTACTATTGTTGTAAAACAAAATTTTAGTAAAAATATTAGTTTAAAAACCTGTTGGCATTTATTGGTAATTCACGAATCAATTAGCATCCCATCTAAAAAAATACATTTGTGTTCTTCTGAGCATTGCAGAACTGTTGGTTTTTATAAGGTAGCTGGAGGAGGAACAAGGAAACAGAATAATACAAAAGGTGGATTGGTCAATAAAACACTTCAGGTTTCTTTCTTTGCAAGGGTTAAAGCAGAGGAGACTTCCTTATCAGGCCAGTTCTAGTTAATTGGGGCCCTTCTAGATTGGTTGCTGTGTCATCTTTGGAAAAACAACTAGTCTGTTTGGGGAAATTTCTGCTTCTGTAATGTTCCAGTTTGAGTGCAGTGTTCAGTACACTGGGGCTAGTGTAGAAGCTCAGTCCAAACCAATGGTCTCTCATAAACTTTAATACTATGAATGATATATTAATAAATGTCATTGTAATAAATAAAATGTCCAAGTCACAACCTTCTTATTTCAAACACTATGCAACATTACAAAGTTCTAATAAAAGGAAAAAATTGGGGAAGTTTCTGAGCATTATAGCATGACTTGAATTATATAGTGTATGTTATTGCCACATGTCAACTTAATAAAAAGTGAATTATTTTCAACTTTTAACTATTTTTAAGGAATACATGCACAGCTCCTTTTTAAAATACTCTTATTTCAGTGCTTGAAGACCCAAATTTTGCTGGACAGTATTATCAATGGAAGAAAGTGGATCTGCAATGTCCTAAAGAATGGAATTTAAAGTAAGAAATGTTAAGTGTCTTGAATGCATTATACCATTAATTTGTCCACTTTCTACTATCCAATTGAACCATCAGAATAAACCCTTGAAAACAGCAAGTCATGCCCTATTCTAAGCATAAGAACAGGAATAAGAAAGTATCATTTTTTCCTTTCATGTGAACATAGGTGGAAAATATCTTTGCTACCCATTGGCTGCCAAAGACAGATAGGACATGAGTCACAGTGAAGAAATCTCACAACAACTTCCCCAGTAATTCTTTTACTCCCATTTCCTTTATCCTTATGAACATACAACTTACAAATGGTAGACAAAAAGACAAGGCTAAAAAACTGTTTATATTAGTTTTTCATAGCCCCAAATGTTTTTTTCTTCTTTCACAGATTTCTCACTCAGGAACCAAATATATTAAATCTAATGAGGAAGGATGTAGTAAAATATAGACATAAACTATTGTATCTTTGGAAATCATTGACACTTAGAACACATTAAGGAAGGAACCTTCATCTTATCTTTGGTCTCTTAATTCCTGAAGGCAGTGTTTGTGCTTCATCTTGCCAGAGCAAAGATCCCACCATTCCATCAGTTCTGTGTTATCGGCTACACTGTGCTGGCCCTTCTTCTGCGGTGCTATTTCAAGGCACTCAATGAATGTGCTACCAGAAAGCTGGAGGAATTAAAGATACTCTATGTTGCATTTACCTCATTTGCCTCACATTTTAGCTTTTCAATGTTCTGTTCAATGTTGGCAATGTGCCCTCTTTTCTAGATGGAAATACAGGATTAGTAAAAATAATACTCTGTATTTCGAATTTGTGTAGACATTGAGGTTCCTAAAATATACTTACCTACTCTCTAACATCATAGTTAAAATTGGGTTTTTCAATTGGATTTTCTTTTTTCAGTTGATTCTGCAACAACTTTCCTTCAAGCCAAAGTAGAGAAAAACTTTTGCATTAGATAATTTTCTGTTTTCAGGATGTTTTATAAGTGACAGAAAAGTTTTTATTAAGGGGAATTTAAAGAAGTACAAGGTTTTTTCTTCACAACATGTGCCAAGTTTCTATTTGAGTTGAAGAAATCTACTCAGAATCTAAGATTAATTTTGCTTTGACATGATTCCTCTTTTATTTCCTTTAACAGAACAGTCTTGTTTGATCATTGATTCATTATATAATGCCAACATCTCACAGAACCCAAAACCTTAGAAAAAGTAGGACCATGTCATTTTCAAAGTATCCATCCACATCCACACATAGTTAAAATAATCGTGAGTTGTTTGAGTGCTAGAACATGTTTCCAAATACATTATTTTGAAGTTACAGATCAAATTATTGTGTGCATAGTGACCCTGTTGAATAAAACTCTCACACTTTGTGCCATATGGAGGTTAATGACAATATATTTAGACCAAATGATATTTGCTTCTTACAAGTTTTAGAGTTAATTAGTCCCCCTCAAATCCCACTATTTGAATTAAGTTTTAAAAAGATATTACATTTATCTGCATTTTATTTTGGTATAAATATTTGAGTAGGCATATAGTAAAAAATCTAAAGAATGATGAAATTCAACTTCTTTTCAGACAATTCAAAACTCTTAAGTTCATCAAAATACATAAAGTGTGATAAAGTGGTCAATTCATAGAAACTCATATAGAAAATGTTTGAGGATTGATCTGTGCAAGTGAGTAATTGGTCTGTACGTGCATGCCATATCAAACCATTAAGCAACTCTGTTTTTACTATTTGAAAATGCTTTCCTTATACTGAAATTTCCTATTTCAGAAAAACAAGAACTGCAAGTTGAAAATCTTTTATCTGAATAGTGTTAAGGAAATGCTGTTACTCCTGATACTGTCCTATATGCCTTCTCCTCTCTTCTACTCCCTTATCAATCGATACTCAATTCTCAAGCCACACAAATATTTTTTTCTCACTATTATTAGAGACCTAAGATCTCTCCACCACTCTGTGCCTTCTGCCTGGGAGATCTTTCTCCCCAGAGCCTGTTGTGGTGGCCTAGAGTTAGGATTTGGTCAGGAGTAAAACATAGGATGCAGAAGACCTAAGCACAAGGCCCTGGGGCCAGGCTGTCTGCAAATTTTTTTACAAATTCTTTCATTCTTTCAATTCTGGCTCTGCCAAATACAGCTCTGTGACCTTGAGCAAGTTAGGTGATTTCTTTGTGTTTCAGTTTTATCTATTAGATGGCAGTAATAAGCATAACCTACCTTCCAAGGAATTTGCAAGTATTAAATAAAATAATATATAAACACACTTCAAACAGTACCTGGCACATGGTAAGCATTCATGAGGTTCACTATTATTCATATTTTTTCTGCTGTGGCCTTCATTCAACTTGCAGATGGAAAATCTTTCTTTGGAAGCAGCACAGGCAAAGAGCAGAGGCTTTACCGACAGGCAGGTGTTGGAGAAATTTTTACCCACTCTGAGCTTGTTTCCTTATCTGTTAAATGGACATAATGTTGCCTACCTTGCAAAGTTGTTCTGCATTTGATCTCTGGAATTAAATCATATATATAAAATAATATATTGTTGCACATGAACATGGGATAAATATTAGCTTCTGAGGTGAGGAGGAGGAGATGAAGGCCCATGCTCCCCTCAATTTTTCAGGGAACAAAAATAATCTTTGTCTGAAACATGTAAAAATTGCTAACTTTTCTCAGGTTAGAAAACAACACTTATCACGACCACATTTATTTTAGTCCTGTTATGCCTATGCTACTTTTTCTTTGTATGAATGTATGGGGCACATATGCCATTTTGTTACATGCATAGATTGTACAATGGTAGTGTTGGAGCTCGTAGGGTGTCCATCACCTGAATTGTGTACATTGTACCCATTGAGTAATTTCTTATCACCCACCCCTCTTTGTTCTTTTCCTTCTCCACTCCACCACCATCATTTTTTCTACCTGGCTAAGTACTTCCCATGAATGGCATGAAGATCCAGCTCAAACATATCTGTGGAAACAGTCCACTCCTGCATCTCTTTTTGTAACACTGCGTTCTCATCTCTTTCAGCATCTGCAGTGTGGAAATCCACCTGTTTATCAAGTGACCAGGGCAGGGACATTAGTGTAGCTTTGCATTCTCTGTACTTTACATGGGTGTTTGGCAAATAGTAGGCACTCAATTAATGATTGCTGAAAAATGCATACTTACCCTGTTTCCCATTTAGGATTAGGATTAAATGTGAAGGCAATTAATTTCAGGAAAAATAAAATTTAGGTGCAGATGTCTACTAAGTTTCATTCTAATATAGAGATTAAGTTTCTTATGGTACTTTGGGAGTTCTAGGGCATAGTTATAAGCAGTAATTGAAAACTGGAAATGTAAACAACTCATGAATTTTTTTGCAAATTCTTTAATGTGAACATATTTAGTTACTATTAATAGAAACCTATTGTCATCATATGCTTGTAAATATTCATTAATTAATCATTTAGATTGGTGTTCATTTCTAAGGTCTTTTTTCTTTTCCTGTTGCCTTGACTGCCTTTTGGAGATTTGTACAAACGTTTTATTTCTACCACCACATGGCAATATAAGGCTGTATTGTAAAGCAATAGTTTGTATTTATCTTCTCCAGAGAAATAGTGAAAGATATAAAATCAGAAGACAACAAAAACTATTGTTTTGAGTGTTCTTGCTTATGCACATACAAAATTTTGTATCATTCTCTGTAACTGACCATTGCTTATGTGATAGGGAAAAGTCTATGCCAGTGATCTAAGCTTTGGTGGCCAGCAAGTTAAACAAATAAAAGTTACCAGTTCTGTTATGGAGTTTTATATCCTATGGAGCTTTTAAATGAATATTTTTCTTGTTATACCAATGAGGTATAATGTCACATTGGCCTTCCTGTGAAGTTGACAGTCACACCTCTACATGTAACCCATCAATAAGATCCATTAGCTCCTTCAAAGCCAGGACAAATCAAGATAAGATAAGCCTCCCCTTATAGGAATCTTCTCTATTTCAGAATATACACACTCAGTCCTTCAACAAATTTTTGTGAATTCCATACTCTTTTTGGTTCTTATGGGTAGCTTGGATAACTTCCAAGCAAGATTCCTAGTCTCCTTCAAATTAGATTACCACCCCTGAGACCTTCCTCTGCAGAAATTCTGTAGTAGCAGAGGTAATTGTTATCTCGAGCATACCAATGACAGAAACTGAGGCACAAAGAGATTAACTAGTTTTCCTGAGGTTATTGTTAAAATTTGTTTCAAAAATTATTTTCCATTTGTCTACTAAAAGCATGTTCTTATTAAAGCCTTATTAAAGGTTTAAATTATTCAGGTAAGTGTAAAAATATTGACTACCTCATTCCAAACACAAATCAAGTCTACTTTTGTGGAAAAGTTATGGGTTTGTTTATTTGTTTGTTTTGATCAGCATCAAATTCTACTATGAAATAATGTGAGTTCCTTTCTCCTATATAAAAAAAAGAACATCTGTGCAACATCATATACCAATATAAAACTTTCTTATATTTATAAAATATACTGTGGACTTAGTTGTCCTGTCTTTTAAATTAGGGAGTTAACATATATTATTTTTAAGTTCCTTTAGATTCTGATTTTGTTTTAACTCACAAAAGCACAAGTTATCTTTCTTTTAGTGTACCTATGTTTGACTCCCTTTTCTCAAGGAAAATGCTCGTGCTGAATATATTCACTTAGTGTACATTTGTGCTATCTTTTCAGAGTTCTAGAATTCAAATACTGTTTTTATAGGTTTACATGATTATATATAGGGTGGGTATAAAGTTTGTGTGCAACTATTTTGTTGTTGTTGTTTGTCATTTATTGAGGGTACAAAGAATTAGGTGACACCGATTGTATTTGTTAGGTAAATTCCCTCTTATAATTGTGTCCTGCCCCCAAGTGTGCAACTATTTCAAACTGCACATGAACTTTGTGTTCACCCTATATTTAATGCATTTTTAAGGAGGAATGCTAGTGGGTTGTTTT